CCGGCATGGAGCGGACTCCCGCGGCCGAGTAGCCGCCGCCCCCGGAGCCCAGCGAGAGAGCCGCTCGCAGCCCGCCTCATCCCGGCCGCGCCGCCGGCCAGGCCCCGGGAGAAACCGGGAGGAAGATGACGCGTCCTCGCCGCAGTCCGCTGGAAGCAGGACTCGCTGCAAAGCCCTAGGAAGAAAGAGCTCGGAGCGGAGGCTCGACGTGTTCCCAGCCGAGCCAGGAGAACGGCTCCGGGAGCTGCCCTCCCTTTGCGGTGGACTCGCCCAGGCGTTATCCGAGTGGAGGTTGGGAGCATTTGCAGCAGAATTTTTGGCTTTCCCTCCCCCTCCATACATTGCCCCCTCCTCCTTTTTCAATTTTTCTTCTTCCCAGGAAGTGAATTGCTGATGCCAAGGGGACTTTATTCATTAATGATGTAACTGGATTCGTTTCAGGATTATATTGCACGAATTGAATTTTGAATGAAGGAGTTTTTTTTTTTTTGAAAGAAGTGTTGACTCTTTAGTTCGTTGTGCTTTTAATTATTATTTTATTTAAATATACAATTTAATTGTATTCTCTTAAAAATATTAAATCTATATTTTATGGAAACTTACCCTCAAGATATATATGTTTATGGGTGAAATTGAAGACGCTTCCATTAAGTGAGGTGACTGGTGTATTGGATGTTTAATTCATCATCGGCATTGCATGACAGTTGTTGAAATAACAAGTGGTTTATTTTTAAAAGCCACATCTTTAAAATTTTAGGTTCACATAGTAACAGTAGACATCATAAGGGCATTGAAAAGAAAACCAGCAGAAATCGAAGCAAACATGTCCGGAGAAGTGCGTTTGAGGCAGTTGGAGCAGTTTATTTTAGATGGGCCAGCTCAGACCAATGGGCAGTGCTTCAGTGTGGAGACGTTACTGGACATACTCATCTGTCTTTACGATGAATGCAATAATTCTCCATTGAGAAGAGAGAAGAACATTCTTGAATATCTAGAATGGGGTAAGTTTTGTTTTTAATACTCTTAATGTGTAGCTGGGCATGAACATGATTAACTGTGGTGAAAATGATGTATATATCCTTAACAAAAGAACACACGCCAATTAGTCAAGACTTTTCTCTCCTAGTTTTTCATAACTCTTTGGCAGGAGTAAAGCTATGCCATTTAATTGTTCCCTTGTTGCTTGGCCTTGCAGTGTGTGAACTCAACTGCGCTTGGGGGCAGCGGTAGGAGCTTTGAAACTAATGCTGGGGTTGGCAAAATTGGATTATTGAGCACAGTTGTCACAGCCGTTCAGTGGGAGTGGGAGGGTATTTGTTGGTTGGAACATTCCTTCCCAGTCTTTGAAAATCACTGGAGATGAGAGGAGAGACGGTGTTGAAGCCCCTGTGTTCATTTTCGGACAACAGGAGTGTGGAGGTGGTGATCAGCGGGGTTAATTTCATCTCTGTAGAGCACAGGCAAAGGAAACTACTAAACACGGACTTTCCGAAAATTACTAGGTTCCTAAGAAATAATAGAAAGTGTGTGTGTGTGTGTGTGTGTGTGTGTGTGTGTAAGTAAAGCAGACGTAGTTGGAGAATGTGTGGAGGCAGCTCCACCTGCCTTAGCTTTTATTCTAAATTGAACTTGTGTCTACACTGGCTAGATGTGACTCAGATGACCTGTACTAGTGGACTAGATCAGTGATGCGGGCAAACACTGCATGTGACCTTCAGGGTAGAAGGCTTGTCTGAACTCCTGGAGCCTCTGATGTCACTCAGTCTGATGAGGGGACTCAGACTTCTAGCAGTGGCCATCGTTGCCCAGGAAGGTAAAGAAGGGTACCGTAGCTCTGGAAGGATTTGGGCCATCTAGAATTTTGTGCTGTTTAAATACTTTTAGCTAGCTAAATGATTTTTTTTAATATTTAAAATATTTTTTTCCAAGTAAACCTTAGTTTTCTGAAGTAAACCAATTAAGTGTCTGTTGTTGTTTCTGTTTTCAAATTCATTCAAAATTTGTTTCTCAACTCAACTCCCACTTTAAGAATGCCTACATGAAACAATTTTAATTCTCCAATTTTCCAGTATTAGAAGGTTGATTGCTAGTAGCACGACGTTACAAGGGTTAAAAATTGTTAGATGTGAATGGGATGATTTCACAAAGCAGTTTGCCGTCATCATGCCGGGAATGTAAGAAATCTTAAACCAGTTGTCAGGCGACTTCTCTCTTGAGAGTAGGTAATTTTTATGTTGGCACTGACTTTGCATCTACCTGCCTTTTTTATGTGCAGGATACAATATTTTATGAAGCATATGGAAATTTACACCCAGTGTTTCATAAAGTTAGGAATTCTGTGGGGTTTCTTTTTTTTTTTTTTTGAAGACTTAAAAAGGTTTCGGTACCCTTAGAGTTGGAATTTAAGTCCTTCAATGACAGCTTCATAGTGATACTGTAGTCTGTGATTATGACTGTCATTTAATATCTTATTCATTTGCAAAACAGTAGGAGAACTCTTTGTACATAGCAGTGGCAAATATAATTTAAAATAATGTATAAGAGAAAATGCATTTCCTTGGCTTCCTGATGTATAGTAGTTTTATGCTATGGAGTATTTTTCATCTTATTAAAATAACCTATGTATCTTTCATTAAGTATTCTTTTTTGGGATTTTTTCTATGTTTATGAAGACACTTTGCAAACATACATACATACATACATATTTACCTATACTAAAAAGTAAAACAAAGATCAAGTGTTTTGCTACATTCACTATTTTTTATTTTTTCCTGGAGAGAGTGCCTTATGTAGCTCTTGAAGTTACTATCTAACTGAGGCTGGCCTTGAACTCTCAATCCTTCCATTTCTCTCTCTACCTTTCCAGTGCTGGCATTACTGTACACTACCATGTGCAGATTATATAGCGCTGGGATATGAACCAAGGGCTTTATATATGCTAGGCAAGTACTCTGCCAATTGAGTTCAATCCCAGTCCAAATTCACCTTTATTCTTATTAATAATTTCATGTCTTACCTTTTTTAGTTGTCTGATATATGGTATGATGAGACTCTACAGTCTCATAAACCGTTACTGGCACTTTAAAAAGGTCTATTTTTATTATTTTAAATTACATATATGTATGTGGGTCTGGTGTAGGTATGTGTTGTTCGTGCAAGCTCCTGAGGAGGCCCCAGACATCTGATCCTCTTGGAGCTGAATGCTGGTGGTTGTAAGGTGCCTGACTGGGTGCTGGGAATCAAACTCAGGTCCTCTGGAAGAACCATTTGCCCTTTAAGCTACCATACCATCTCTTCAACTCCAAGAGAGAAGTTTAAAAATTAATATATATATATATATATATGTATTTCTTTTTTTAAAAAGATTATAATAGTTACATCATTTCCTCTTCTTTTCTTCCTTCCAAACCCTTCTATAACCCTCTTTCAAATTCGTGGCTTCTGTTTTCATTAATTGTTTTACACACACACACACACACACACACTCTCTCTCTCTAACTCCTAAGTATATAAATGCAACATGCTTAATCTGTATAATGTTATTTGTATTTATGTTTTCAGGGGTGAACATTTGGTTTTGGATGACCAGTTGGTGTGCTCTTCCCAGGGAAGAGATTATAGAACTTTTAAGGAATTATTTTGTGTACTTTAGGCTCTTAAGCCTCTGGAGTGCTCTTCTCTTCATAAGAGTTACAAGTGGAAGTGTTGCAGAGATGCATCATAAGTGGTGTCCTTTACTGTCTGAGCTGTTGGGGATCTTAGATTAAGAATGATAGTATTTTTTCATTTAAGTATTGTGATGAGCCATTCCTTCTTCATTTATTAGTCTATCACTACATTTTGGGAAATGTTCTATATTTTTCCCATTGCAAAAAATGTATAAGAATATCTTGATTAGGTTTTCAGATTGTGAATTGACTTCACCTTAAATTTTTAATAAATTATGAACTTTTTGGGATGGAAATTTATAGGAATATTATTAAGGTTAAATTTTATAATTTAGATTTGCTTCAAGATGTCATCTTTGGTTTGATTTTAGCCATTTAAAAGTATTGTCTTTAAGTCTTTAAGAGACCCAGTAATTGAAACAGAGCAGTGTAGTTAAATATTCCATATTACATGTTAAATATTTTTGTTTGGCATTTGCATTATTGGAAGTACCACCTAGATGCTCCATATTTTTGCAAGGGATGGCTGGTTACTTTTAAATATGTAGTCAAGATTTTGTGTGTATCGCTCCATTAATTTCATTTGATTCCAAGTTATGGTCCATTTCATTTCTGTTGTGGTACAGGTAATGTTTTGTTCTTAATAGTAACACAGCAAGAAAACTTGACTATTCCAAGTCAAGGATGCTGCTTTTCTTTTATAGCATTTCTTGGTTTTGGTGCTGAGGAAGGAAAGTAGAGTAGGAGAGAGGAAGAAGAGATGAAGTCAGTGAGTGCCAGTCCAAGGGGATTAAAAACACCATAAAACCAGAGGTCACTTCTGAGCTTAATAATATATAAAATTATTTTCTAGTTACAGCCAGCAAGACTTGAAAAGCTTTCTTTCCTTTGATTGTTAAATTGTTGAAAAGATTTCTACTTATAGTCAGTAAAGTTTGAAAGACTTTCTTTGATTTTTCTTTTAAGTTGTTGGAAAGATTATGGTTTCTGTCTTTGTTTCTATAAGAAGAATTTTGATGTCAGTAGTGGTTATAGTGGAGCTATAGAAAAGTAGTTGTGATGCTGTAACTAACTGATAACTAGTACATTCACTATTCATTACATTGTTTTTCTTCTACTTTGAAATGAGAAATTTGAATGTTAAGGAATTGCTAATTTATTTAAAAAGCGGCTATAGGATAATACTACTCAGAACAAGAGGAACTGCCAGGTTTCCCTGTATGTAGATTACTTTTCTAGACTTTTGATCTTGATCTTATAACATTTCATGTAAATTATCATTGACTGATTTTATGGCTTACTCAGATTGTATGCTACACCATAGAATAGTCTGATTATTAAACTTATTGTTAGGAGGTATCAACAGGTATTGTAAGATAAACATTTCCTTTTATTAGAAGTTAGTTAGCATGTTTGTTTGTTTGTTTGCTTATGATTTTATTATTGAGACAGGGTTTCTCTGTATAGCCCTAGCTGTCCTGGAACTTGTTCTGTAAAGACCAGGATGGTCTTGAACCCAGAGATGGGCCTTCCTCTGCCTTCTGAGTGCTGGGATCGAAGGAGTGCTCCACCACCGCCTTGCATAGAGTAGCTTTGAAGTTTATTCTCAGTTTTTTCCTGTGTGAGTTGGGGTGATGATGGCTTGAGTAGAAGGAAAGAACTGAGTCATTTTTAGAGTACTTTATTTGTTCTTTCTGTCTGCTGTTCCTCACTGTTAACTTTTTCTGAGTAGAAATATTTATCATATAGAATTATTAAGATATTCATTGAATACAAATGATTAAATTAATTTTTGAATAAGCTCATTTGTGATCATTGTAGGTAGGCCACTTGTTTCTTTTACACTAGTCATGAAACATTCTGTTTTAAGAATGGACGTAGTTTATCTGAACCAGTGTTGACATGTTCCTGAAATACTCCATAAGTGATAGTTTGCTGTTGTACCATTTCTTTCCCTTCTTCCTGAGGGAGATGACAAATAATGTTGGTTACTGTAACGATTTGCAATATTGATCACTTGGTTAGTAAACTATTAAAATAGTAGTGCTCTGTGAATGAGAACAGGATGTCAAGGCTCACATTTTAAGAATTTTAGAAGTATTTCATATGGAAACAAGGCATACTTTACTATAGCAGTGTGAATAAATACTGTAATATTTTGGAAACTTTATGAACTGTCCCATAAATCTTAGGACTTGATTACTATTTATAGTAAGTCCAGTCTGCTTTAGGGCAAAAGGACCGAACTTGGCACGACTTTTTTTTTTTTGTGCTACTCAAATCTTACTTATTGCCAGGAAATTGTGTGTAAATCTTGTTCTTTTTCATCCAGT